CAGTAGCATTATCAGTAGAAGTAGCAGTAGCAGTAGCCGTGGCAGTAGCAGTAGCAGTAGCAGTCGCAGTATAGCAGTAGCAGTAGCAGTAGCAGTAGCAGTAGCAGTAGCAGTAGCAGTAGTAGTAGTAATAGTAGTAGCAGCAGCAGCAGCCGGAATAGGAGGAGGAGGAGGAGGAGGAGGAGCAGCAGCAGCAGCGGCAAGTACTGGCAATCGTCGTCGTCCTCCTCGTTCTCGTCATCGTCCTCGTCGGGGAGGCGGCGCCGTTCTCGACGACGCGAAGAGCCGCATCAGCAGCAGCAGCGTTAGTAGACCCAGCAGCAGCGAAAGCAACGGCACTAGAGTCTAAGTATGAGCTTGTGGGGCGGGGGGGCGGGGCGCCTGGCGATTTCACAGCTTGAGGGATTAGCACAGTTCTCATGAACAGTCGACAGCTCTGGCCAGCACTAATTTGATTGAACTTTCTGCAAGCATTCAAGTTGCTAGCATGGATGGTATCGAACTGCAAATTAGCGGTGCTCATTTTATGCTGGCCCGTCTGGAGGGTAGCTCTACTCCCATAGACTTGTCGCGCCGGGAAAAAAGCTGTCACGGAGCTTGTGGCGAGGTGCATCTCATTATTCCCTACAACACAATATACGACTGTACTGTACTACAACAAGACAGTATAAAACAGCTCATAGTGTAAAGCTGAATATGGTATAGGCATGGCAAACCCAATCCCTCGGATCCCGGCAGCAGGTCCAGAACGTTGAAGTCATCGCTATCCTTCTCAAACACAGCTGTATCACTGCAAGAATCCTTGGCAGCTCTGTTAGTGAGGATTGCCGATGATGTTAAGTGGTGAATCGTTCATGCTGTGCTAATGTTTTTTGTCTTCTGGCGCAGGACTGTGCAAGCAAAGGCGGGTAACAACGACATTAATGGTAATAACTACACGAAGAGTAATCTTAAATAACTATAAGGTGACGAAGCGTACAGAAACATGTACTGTAGCGGCAGGTGGCACTAGGAAAAAACGGACAATTCAATGACAACGGCAGTGGCTTGATGGCAATTTGCTCGAGCCAGGCCTTGCCGCTGCCTGCCTTGCCATCTTTGTCAGCCTCCTCAGCTACCTTGATGTCAATGGCCTTGTCAAGATACATGTTTAGTTGGAAAGGTCCTGATGCATCCGAACCTGGAAAACCGTCGAACGTTCAGGAAAGCAAATCACCAGAGCATTGGCAGGTCATGGCTTGCTACGGTGCGGGCCGTGACATCGACTGAAACCTTATGGTGCGAAATCCCCAACAGACCCTCGAGTTCTCCCCCCAAGACATCACTGGATGTCAAGGTCGCAGAGGGCCGAGCAGCTTCGGAGTGGGAGCTTCCCATGGCTTCAAAGACCCCATGGGATGCCACAGGAGATTTATGCTTGCTCTTGGTATACAAGTGCACGCGAGCGCTTCGAGCTTTAGCAACGTCTGGAGGTTGGAGTCCGTGGAAATGAAAAGGAAGACAAGCCGAAACAACTGCATCAGCAGCCGCGATCACAGTGACAGTTTCAAACGGCCTCCACTTGAGGCGTGGGGTGGTAGACTTCCCCCCTCGCCTCTTGAACAAGAAATGTGCCTGTATGCGGGCGCCCTGCAATGCAACGCGAAAGAACTAGAGAAGGGTAAAGGGCTCACCGCTCGAGGTCTGGCAATGGAGGTCGATGAGCCACGCACGAGCCACAAACTGGTGTGCTTACACATCCCATGCCATGCAAACCAGAGCTGAATCGCTCCCTTTCCCCGAAAGGGGGACGCAATGCGACATGTCCTGGCAAGTTCCTGAATCATCTTTACAAGACGCCTGCAATGCAAACCCTCCGGGGGCCCTCGCTTTAGGGAGATCGACTCTTAAGGAGGCTACTAGGTGCCCCCAGGCCGTCGCCACAATGCTGGCCTCGAAGGATCCGGTGAAGATGGTCTTGCTGTCTTCGAAGCCCCACCGAGGATTCCGGTTGTTGGAGATCCGGCCGGTTTGCATCAACGGCTTCTGGCACGTCGGGCAGGCTCTGTGACTCTACTGAGACATTGAAGTTTTTGCAGCTTGAGTTCTAGGATGCAGGCCTCCCCATCTGCAGTGCTGTTAGAATTGGAGGGATACTCGAGCTACAGGCACTGAGCCAGACTGTAGGGCGCCTAAAGAGTTCGCCCAGTCTCGGAGCAAAAGACTGAGGTGGCCAGGTTTGGTCCAAACTACGAAACATTGCACATCGAGCCTGAGACCACCCTACCCCCAAGATTCCCTTACAAGGTGCAATGAAGGTGCTGCACACATCTGGGGGAGCCCACCTTACGCCAGGATCCCTGAACGTCGTTGCGCACCCAGAGAAGAGCTTTCGGATCGCCTGGCGAGCTTCTCGGGAGCTTTCGGGCATCGGCTGTGGGTGGCTTCACGCAGGCCGGGCGGGGTGTCAGGTTTCTACCGAACACGAGTTCACTAAACATATTATACGGGAAAAAAATTTCCCCCCTATAATATGTTTTCTACCGAACACGAGTTCAATTCTACCAACTGCCGCACCTTAAGCTCACCTCCTCACTCATTCACGCACCTATCAAGGCCCAGACCCAAGTTTGCACCCCACCAACGCACTATGAGCAACACTTCGCAGTCCCAGCAATCTTGCCGGGCGACAGTCCATCAGCTTCTTCGCGTCCGCGCGCCTTAGGCGCTCGGCCTGTCGATGGGGCCAGGCACGGCTCCGACGCGTTTGGGTAGAAACGCTAAGTCGCAAAGTGGTGCTGGCCGCTCGGGAGGGACTCTGAAGCCAGAAACAGTTGACAAGGGCTCAAAGAGGGGCAGAACACGAAAAGGGCGGCGCACCCTTTCAATGCGGACGGTCAGGATTCCGCTGTGCTTGTGCTCCTGGCTCGCAGCTTCGACTTTGCACGAGCAGCTCGAGCATCCCCGAAAGAATCCCCAGACTTGCCAAACTCCAGCCAACCTCTACTGAATAACATCGCAACAGAAGCACCAGAACCCGCGGCATCATGCGGCATCAACGACCCCATGGCTGAATCAGCACCGACTCAGGCACCTCGAGCTTTGCAAGAGGTTACGCCGTGCTGTCCTGCTGGAGCCCTCGGCCCTGGATGGTCTCGGTCAGCTGGTCCTCCAGTTTGCTCGAGCTGGGAGGCTCGAAGGACTTGACGGCTCAGGCTGCGGACCCAGTACTCGATCGGTACGAATCCGTAAGAGGATTTTCTTGGTCGTGAGTGACTGAGATTACTGGGGCGATCTGTGGGGTACTGAGCTTCACAATCACTGTACATCTGCTTCTGTGTGTGTCATCAACCGAAAGGAGCCACTCGGTCCCATGAAACATCCCTGTGAGCAAATGTCCGGGCATCAAGAGAGCCACTGTCCTTGAACCAGTCGTTCAGGATCTTCTTCACTCTCGAATCTGTGATTTTCAGCCTCCGAACCAAGCATAGCAGCTACTGCCACTGCGTCGCTTTACATGCCTGGCGACGCACATCTCTATGGCTGCAGGTATACAAGAGGTTTGGACCTGTTTCTGCATGGGCAAGTTCTGGACAGTCAGGACTACCCTGGTCCCCTTGGGTGCCGCACGTGCTGAAGAAGTTGGCTTTCAGCTGGAAGGGTGCTTTGTTCTCCACCTTGCTTCTCGGCTTTGCGCCGTTTGCCCACTGGCTTCGGGCTTGAGCATTGCGCAGAAGTGCGTGAGGACGATGTGTGGGGTCGGGCAAAGGGCATACAGACAAGCTCAGAGACTGAACATGCCCAAACTGCCAGCGATAGCTTCCCCATAGCTTCCGGCCATCTGCTCCCTGATGTTTCGCACTGTCCGAAAATTGTCGATGATCGGCTCCTTCGTTGCAGGGCTTCTTGGGAGCTGTTTGGATTGCAGAAGATTGCGAGGCAGGAGGCTAGTCTGGGTAGTCCGGCACGAGTGCAGACCATTCCAAGTCTAGGATTCCGGGCTATTGAAGTCCAGACTGCAAATGACTCGATATAGCCAAGCATTCGATTTGTTCTTCGAGTGGTCTTCAAGAGTGTCTCGTGTCCTCAAGCATGTGTTCTTCACTCGTAGCCCGAACCTTAACCCTAAACCCCTCTCCCATTCAAAAGCTGCAGTGGCCTGATACTTGGTGAGCTCACCCGGCTTCAGGGTCTTTGCCCTGGGTATGAGCTGTCTGGTCTGGGATATGCTACGGGTGCTTTTTCATATACACGGGCCACAATACGGCTGATGATACAAATCCTGCGTTACCCATAATAAGGAATATACCATAGTTCCCATAGTTTAGGGTCCTTAAGATAATGCAGGATTTATGTCATCAACAGTAGTGTCCCGTCCAGCCTTGCTCTCATCAGTACGACTAATACTTCGGTGCCCTTGCGCTTCTTCATGACATGGCTTGTATCTTGCGACCAATTCCGATTCCTTTGGCTTCTTTCCCGCCATGACCGCGACAAATTTACTACTGTGTCAAGAACTGGCTCTCTAACCGTAGCTGATCCTGCTGCTGCTGCTGCTCGACGAAGACGACGGCTGCGACGGCGACGGCGAAAACAACTCATACTCCTCCCTCTTACTCCTTGTGTTCACCTCTGTTACCGAGCCCTGGCTCTTCCCTCTGGGCGCCAGGCTTTATGTACTTTTGCTCCAACATTGCGAGCCAGGTTTCCACATCGACGTCCAGCCCTTGCCGGGTCAACGCCATTTGGGGGGTTTGGGTGCCTGAAGAGGCTCAAACGAGAGTTGGGATTGTGGATCTGGCACTTGGGGCTTGCTGCTTCTCCGGCTTAGAGCACTCTCCAACCAAGAGGCAAAGCCAACTTTCCATAACGAAAACGATTCGCAGGTTTGGACCAGCATAGAGAAAAGCTCACATTGAGTACGATATTCTCGGATCCTTCTCACGCGGACCTTGGCCGGGCTTGAGGTCTAGGCACGAGAGTTAGTCTGCACCGAACCAATCCAAGTCCAAGCAGGCCGCAAAACGCGGCTTCGGTAAAGACGTGTGTGTTGGAAGAGACCCGTATTTGACAGGACTTTATTTGGAACAACCCGCAACTATCGCTCCAGATCAAGAAACTGCATGCACCTCTGCCCTCAATTGTGGGGTAGTTCCAGCTCACCGTCAAGAAGATGTCGCCGGTCACCTGCTGCGATGGCCGAGTTCCACACGATTCGGGCCCCTAAATCACAATTCCACCCCAGAGCGACACAGACCGATCCAAGACCAAGTGTGCGATCTATCGGCACTAGTCACTAGATATCACTAGATGCTGCAGCCCTTCAAAGCGTCCAGTGACCCCGAAACCGAATCTTCGTATTCAAGTCCAATGATCTCTCGAATGTGGCCGAAAGAACGGGAACCTTCATGTTCGGATTTGTACCATCGTCCTTGAGGTCCTTCTTGGGATCGTGCCGGGACGGCCTGGATCGCTGCCAGATTCGCACCCAAAGACGGGTTTGGGGATTAGGGTTTTGGAGGGATGGAATGGGCATTGGGCTTGTCAAAAGGCCTGAAAGACTGATGCCTTCTATCCGAGGCCCTGCCATGCTGCGCTGAGTAGTGAAAGCGCTGGGTGCGCAGCCCATTCTCCGAGTCAGGGCTATAGCTCACCGGCTGGAGCGGCAACACGATGTCCTGAACGTAAGTTTCAGGACAGGGCTTTTCGCACCTACAGCACAGAAAGCTGCCAAATGCTGGCCACGTGTTTAGGGGACAACAAGCCTCTACTACCTGCTGCTGCTGCTGCT